TTATATATTGTGTGTGTAGTTATATATGTGTGTGTGTGTGTTATAGTGTGTGTGTGTGTTATGTGTGTGTGTGTGTGTGTGTGTGTGTGTGTGTGTGTATATATATATATATATATATATATAATATATCTATATCTTATCTTTTCCTGGGCCTTTTTGGCCCTGAAGGCACGTTTCCTTTAGGAGTCACTGGCCTTTGTGTGTATATATTGGGTGAGATCTTGCCCTCCTTGCAGAGCTTTTGGTCTCACAGTTGGTTCAGTTCCTTCCGTTATAATAGAGCTCTCTCTCAAGAGCACAGAGCCACGCTGGCATCTGGAGGTGAGCGATCACTAGATTAGGAGTGAAAAGCATATCACTAAAGGCACCGTTCTTTCTGACGCTCACGTTTGGTGCTGACTCGGAGCCACCCTGCCATACAGCCCAGTTACTGACAGTGTCTTCCTCTGTTGGGTTTTGATTTCTCTCAAAGTCACATTTGACCTTCCCTGAATCCTGGCTTTCGTGGTGATGGGCAAGGTACTATTTCCATTCATCAGGCATGTTGGCATAGATTTAAACCCCTGACAGGATTCAAAGTCTCTCCCTTGGCTCCGGGCACTTTACAAGACTATAAGTGGAGACTTGGCTATATGCTTTAATATTGTAAGGCAGATGACATTTATAAAATCTGTCTGTTCAGAGCATACAGAAATCCTCAAAGGAGCAATGTTACCTAACTCCGCACCCTCGCATCTACGTTTCTGAGCCTTGTTATGTAAAATTACCAGATAGATTTTTATTCTCACTATTTAACCAGATTTCATGTGAGTATTATGGGTAAACTTTCAATGTACTATTAGTAGCAGTAGCAGCTAAAATTTGCACAGTTACTGCGTGCCTGCCACGTTCTGTTCTAAGGCCTGTGTATGTATTGACTTGGATTTGAATGCAGACTGTCTGGTTCCAGAGCCGGTGTTCATAATCATGTCTTAGCTAGTGAAGATAACAATATTTCTTTTTAAAAGAGAGCTCTTTCCAATGTTGTTTGAAGACTGTTTCTCATTTAAACTGATTGTTTATTATTTTCTTATTTGCTAATACCAGACTCAGATATCAGTGATCTTATTAGCTTTTTCACAAACCAGAACATAATGGTGACGATGTTTAATGACAGTGACTATGTGTCCGCCGCTCCCCATAGTGCAGCTTTAAATGTGATGCAGGCAGAAAAGGTAAGAGGAACGTATGTGAATGAATGAATACCCGTTTGAAAGTTAAGAAACATTAAGATATTTCCTCTCAAAGTGATCATTTGCAGATATGACCTCAGTAGTTGGAAATTAAAATTTACTTCTGGAAATAGATAGCTGTGTTGACTTATGATGTATTTTATGCCCTAGTGGAGGACCAATGTGTAAACCTATGAGGAATTTAATTATTTTTGTTATTTTTTTTGTTTCAAATATCAAAATATCCAGATCCCAAACCACGTTGTCTTTATCTCTTACTGGGTATTATTTCTGTGATTTGTTGAATCAGATGTCAGTATCATTAGTGAGAATTACCTTGATTGGTGAGAGCAGCTTGGTACATAGCAATCATTTATGTGTTCATTTGTGTTTCTGTATAGTCTGTAACAACTCTCTCTCTTTTTGAATTGTAGGACTATGTTTTTACAGCTGTTTTCAACAGTACTATGGTTTATTCTTTACCTGTATTGATGAATATCATTAGTAACTACTATCTTTATCATTCCAACGTGACTGAAAGCATCCAGATCTGGAATACCCCATTCTTTCAAGTAAGCAAACTTAAAAGTGTGTGTGTGTGTGTGTGTAAAATAACTACTAAAAGCCAAGTGACAGTCACAGATGAACTCTGTAGAAGTTCAACTCGTGATGTCTCCTAGTCTGAAAACTTGAGCTGGGGATGGTTCACATCCTGGTTTTAGGATTCTTTAGTACGAGTTTACTTCAGGGTCAAGGAGATTATCTTGGTACTGATGTTTTCATAAAGTGTGAGCATTTTTTATGTTAATCACAGAAGAAAAATTTAGATAATTAAAAATGAAATATTGTCCACCTAACATCTAGATATTGGGATTTTTGAACCTTGAGAAGTCACACAGTCATTTTTCCTGTAGGTAGGACTGTTGGGTTATAGATATGAAAGTTCACTTAAGTCTCCAGAAAAATACTCAACATTTTTCTCTCAATCCTTATGTTGTTTTTCATATATTGAAAAACAAGTGGACAAATCTCTTTCTGTAATAGCAGCTTCTATTTTCTGTTGCCGTACTGTTTTTTGGGGGGCAGGGCTGGTAATTAGGTCTAGTTATTTATTTATTTTTTTAGAGGAGGTACTGGGGATTGAACCCAGGACCTTGTGCATTGCTAAGCATGCCCTCTGCCACTTGAGCTATACCCTCCCCTCATACTGTTTTTTAATAGCTTTATCGAGATGTACTTCATACACCATATAATTTACCCATAAAAAGTGTACAGTTCAGTGATTTCCATTGTGCTCCAGTTTTGCGACTGTCACCACAGTTTCATATTTCATCGCTCCTCCCAAGAAATGCTTGTACTTATCAGTTAATCACTCCCTGTTTCCCCTGATGCCCACCCCTAGTCAACCACTAATCTACTTTCTGTCTTTATGGCTATGTAATCTACACCTGAATTTTTTTAGTGTATTTTAATCTTTTGCCATTAAAAAAATATTTTTTTGGAGGGGAGATAATTAGATTTAGTTATTTATTTTTTGGAGGAGGGACTGGGGATTGAACCCAGGACCTTGTGTACGCTGAGCATGCGCTCTACCACTTGAGCTATACCTTCTCCCCAACTCTTGCCATTTTTAAATGGGAAATCACGTCGAAGATTAAATAGACATGGGGACAAAGAACATCAAAGTTGCATTTTAAAAAGATCACTGGCACCAGGGAGGCCAGGGAATTTCTGTGGGGGGAACTGTGGTGGAGAAGAGGAAAGAAAGGTGTAAAGATCAGTAAATAGTTCAGATGAGAGGAGAGGAGCGTCGGAGTTAATGCAGTGACACTAACAACAGAGATAGAGGAAAAAGATGTTAAAAAATGTGTGGCGTGCTTTATCACTGCTGTATTTGTGAGGTGGAGAAAAGAAATCCTCGTGTTTCTTACAGTTTTGGGAAAAGTGGTGCATAGTAGTATCTTTCACCAATTTTGAGAGTATAGACAAAAGAGGGATTTTGGCTTCGTTTTGATGGAATGGAGATAACTGACTTCACTTCTGAGCCTACGGAGTTAGTGGCTGTCCTGGTGGCATTTGCCTGATGGACATGTAGTAGGCATTGGGATGTGTGAATCTGGAGAGATTTGTGGACAGGAGGTAAATACTTGTGAGTCACCGGTGCATAAGTGATGTAGAAATCACTGAAGTTGTAGATGATCCCTTGGGATTTTTGTTGTTGTTATTGTGCAGTGTTTTAATCCTACAGAAAATAAACAACCATGTATCTACTACCCAAATATTTCAAATGTTAGTATCTTGTCATACTTCTTCTTAAAGGTGCAGCTGAAACCTCTAGTGTATCCCTCTTGTTTCTTTCTCTCCTCCATGAAGTAACCACAGTTCAAAATGTATAATTCCCGTACATGTTTTTACGATGCTGCTACATTTGTATGTATCCATAACTCTTACAAAAGATCTTGCAGCTTGTATTTTCCATCACTCATTGACATATATACTCGACCATCTTTTAAAACCAGAGGGAAAGAAATGAGACTTTTTAAAGCTCAATTTTCCTAATAAGATACAGTCTTATCAGTGTTCCACATTTCCCCCTTCCTTTATCAGATTCTGTGTAATTGAATTCAGCTGTAATCTCATTAACCTCCATTTCTTACACTGCTCAGCTTACATATTTGTTGATTCTATCTGGATCTTTCACTTTGCCTGAAACACTGTGCCAGAGTTTCAGGCAAAGTGTCCAGAATCGTATGGCATGAATTAAGAAATTTGCTTCATTGCTAAAAACTCAAAACAAGATGCACTCTTTCTCCACATTATCGTGCGGTAGGGGAACGTGTGTGTGTACCAGGGCCAGTGTGCCTGCTGGAGTGCCTTCCCTGTCCCGTGGGCGTATCTGCTCAAGAACAAGGGTGAGGAAATGGCCTTGTTGAGGGTGGTTCTGGGTAGTTTGCATTTGGGGCACCCGATGTTTACCTGGTTGGGAAGGCATGCTGCCTGTACCTGCATCCAGGGCCTGTGGGAGTTATAGTCTCCTCTGCTGGGAATAAGAAGTTCCTAGTTCCATAGGAAGGTGAGCTTGGGGACAACTTTTCCCAATGGAGAAGAAGAGGGTGCCACGATCCCAGCTGGTTCATAGTTCAGTCCAGGCAACCAATGAAGGCATCAAAGGTCATTCTGAGAGAGTCATGTTCATTGCATAGGACCGCAGGTGGACATGTTAACTGCTCTTCATGTACGTTCTTACTTTTCATTAGATGGGGAAGCTCAGTTTACATGCTCTATTATTCTGTATACTCCTATGAGAAAATAATTTGTTCAGGATCATGTAGCTATTTAGTAAGTGTCAGAGTTGGTTCTGTAGCTTGCTGCATCTTAACCCTGCCACCTGTTTTTGCACGGAGACTGCTGTCTGGGATAGATGTCCTGACGTACTTCTTCAGAGGTTTTGATAGTCTTTCCAAAAGTAATAATTTGACGTAAAGTGATTCCCAGCTCTGTTTGTTCTTCTGTGGGTTGTCTTTCAGGAAATTACAGACATCGTTTTTAGAGTTGAGCTGTATTTTCAAGCAGCTTTACTTGGCGTTATTGTTACCGCAATGCCACCTTACTTTGCCATGGAAAATGCAGAGAATCATAAGGTAATGACTCAGTTAAAAAGTTACCGGTACACTTTGCTTATCTTAGAAAATTAACCTACTTTGTGTGGGTGTAAGACTTACATGCAATTATTATTTCAAGAGTAAGTAAATGGAGTATAAATACGCTTTTTATGGTAATAGTAATAGCTATCACTCATTATTTGGGTGCTTGCCATGTACCTTATTATTATTTTTTTATTGAATTATAGTCAGTTTAGAATGTTGTGTCAGTTTCTGGTGTACAGCACAATTCTTCAGTCACACATATATGCATTTTCATATTCTTTTCCACCATGAGCTACTGCAAGATAGTGAATATATTTCCCAGTGCTATACAGTAGCCGTGTGCTTTAAATGTTATGTCCTTCCATCCTTACAGCACTGTGAGGTGAGTTTTCTGTTACCCACTTGTGGGTCAGGAGATGGAGGATGGAGCGTTCATATGATGTGTTGCCGTAGCTTGGTTTAAGTAGTAGATCTAGGAACTGACTGTGATCCTTAAGTTCTTAGTTGGTACAGTGAACTGCCTCTTTTTTTTTTTTTAACCTTTCAAAGAATGTATTGAATGTATAAGGCACTTAGTTTTTGTCAAATGAAAAAAAAAATTAGGTAGAAAATGATTTTGATCACCAGGGCCTCGGAAAACTGCTGTGTGTGCAGATCCCTGGTGTTTTGTTGTCGTTGCTGTTTGTTTGTTTGTTTGTTGCCTTCTTCTCCTTTCTCTTTGGACGTCCACCAGGCAGGTAGTGATCGTGTCCTCTTTTGGCTGTTCAAAGCCTTTCCCCCTTTCACTCTGCTGAGACTGGCTCCGTCTTACTCCTCCAGTCAAAATTCTCATTCTCTCCATGTCTGTTCTTAGTTCAGTGGTAGCAAATTTATGTAAATTAATTTACACAGGGTGATTATTAATGAGGTTAAGCCTCATAGCAGACAGTTACATCTTTTAATAATTTTCTGTAGTGTGAAACTAATACATGAGTCTCAGGAGAGTTTTTTAAAGTATATTTAATTTTTTGTTGTAAATATATATATAGGAATCTAGAAAATATAGGAAAGTATTAGGAAAATTAAAAGTATCCATAACCCCCCACAACTCAGATTTGAAACTTACTAGCCAGTTGCATTTTTTCTTACTTGTTTCAACTTAAATGCTTTTTAATGCAAATTTTTATTTAGAGATAACTGTAGATTCATATTAGGTTGTAAGAAGTAATACAGCAAGATCGTATGTACCCTGACCCCCTGACTGTACCCTAGTAATAGCATCTTGCAAAACTGTAGTCCAGCATCACAAGCAGGATATTGACATCAACACAGTCAGGGTGCAGAGAAGCACTGGCACCACAAAGCTCCCTCTTGCCGTGTTTTCCAGGCCCACACATCCATCCACCTCACTCCCTCCCTGACCTCTGGCAACAACCGACCTGTTCTCCATTTCTATGATTTTGGTATTTCAAAAATGTGTAAAGGGAATCATAGCATATTGGCTTTTTTCACTCAGCATAATTCCCTGGATATTCGTCTAATTTGTGTTTACCAATAGTTTATTCCTTTTTATTGCTGGGTGGTATTCTGTGGTGCGGATCTGGGTTAGTTTCTAGTTTTGACTGTTACGAATTAAGCTGCTGTGAACATTTGCTACAGGTTTTTCTTTGAACGTAACTTTTCATTTCTCTTGGATAAATGCCCAGGAATACAGTTGCTGCGTCGTATGGTGATTGCATATTTAGTTTTATAAGAAGTCATTGAACTATTTTCCAGAGTGGATAAACCACTTTACATTCCCACCAGCAGTGTATGGATGACAGAAGCATGGGTTATCCAAAATAACTGTATTTTACTTGGTTTACGTTTTTAGACTTATGTTGGAATTTATATTTTTCTTCTAATTCATTGAACACGAAAGCTGTCGATTTTTAAAAATCATTTCTCCTCTTCTTAACTGATCTTTATAGTCCATGCCTCTCTCACCTCCTCTACGACAAGCTCTTTCATATAATACCCTTAATTGTTAGGAGTAGAAGTTTTTATAGGTGACAAAAATCAACTGAATAGATTGTTAGGTATTTGAATTTATGGAAGACTTAAACAATTTTAGATTAAATAATGAAAGCATGAGAGCATGAGGAAATCTATGATCATTTAAGTTTACTGCTGGTACAGATGAAAATGCTGTTCACTTGTGTAGTAGTAACAGCTAACATTTGTGCTACACAAGATTGAGTAAAAGGCTTTCCAATGTATCATCAGCACAAAATTTCACACTTAAGCTGAAAGCCTTGTGTAAATCGGGGTTCTTGGCCATGTACTAGTGTTTTCGTGAAAGGTCAATATTTAAAAGTGAGAATCTTTTTTCTTAAACATATTTTTTCTCTGTTTCCACAGAATTTCAGAAGCAGGTGTATTTTGCACAGCAGTAACCCCCATGACACCTTTACCTTTTAGTTTTGTGTTTGTCAGAAGCACTGCTGTATTCTGATGCTGAAAAAATTTTTTGAGATTGTTGTACTTCAGAAATAGTGAGCCAACATTAAAGGCTGAGTGGAATTTACATTTCGCTGTAAGGTGTTGACTGGGAATGTGATTTTTTTGTTGATGTAAAATGAAGAGTTCTATTGTATTTAATTCCTCTCTGATCTTTGTGCTGAACACTGGAATTTGACACAACACTGTAAAATGATTATGAATCAATAAAAAAAAAAGAGTTCTACAGTAATTTGCTAGAGCTTTCTGTTTGGAAGATGTTTAAAGCTGTAATCAATTTTCCCCTTTTATTTTTAGATCAAAGCTTATACTCAACTTAAACTTTCGGGTCTTTTGCCATCTGCATATTGGATTGGACAAGCTATTGTTGATATCCCCTTATTTTTTGTCATTCTTATTTTGATGCTAGGAAGTTTATTTGCATTTCATTATGGATTATATTTTTATCCTGCAAAGTTCCTTTCTGTGGTAAGTTAATATCCATTATACCCGTGCTATTTGTAATTAAAATGTTAATTTTTAAAACTAAATCTTCAGAAATGTGGTAATTGGCTGAGTAATTTTGATGTTATTTTTTAACAAAAAATAGAATCAGAATCTATTTAACTATTGTATATGATACTTAAAATCAATGCTATTTATACCGCTATAAGGAATTTTTGATATATTTAAAAAATTTTTAAATTTATGTACAATCAGTTACAGTGTGTCAGTTTCTGGTGTACAGCACAATGTCCCAGTCATGCATATACATACATATATTCATTTTCATATTCTTTTTCATTAAAGGTTATTGCAAGATACTTAGTATAGTTAAAAAAATTTTTTTAATCTATTTTTGATATAAGCAATTTTTGGAAACATAAATTTACCATTATAAAGTAGTTCCTTGAAACTAAGGTGGTTTTTCATGTAAACTGCCTACTTGTGTGTAATCAGGCGCACTTAAACACTTCTTTGTCTCCATGCCTGAAAATAATTTCACAAAGAAGAAGCCCCTTTATTCCATAGTTTAAAATATGGCTTTAGGTAAGTAAGGAAGAGTAATTTGCATTCATATTCATTTGTCAGCGAATGATACTTGACCCCTTCCTATGAGTTATATTAGAGAAAAGAAAACAGCTAGGTAGGCTGTGGTTGCTAAAAATAAACTTAGCAGTTTTGCCAGAGATCACAGTGACTTTGCATATTAATGTCTACCTTATAAATTAATAAATGTTTTTCTTAATAATTTATAAAATGCATTAAGCACTGTATGTTAAAGGTTAGCTAATACTTGATTGAGATTGATAAAGTTGTAACCAACTCTGGATAGCATTTTACTTGACATAAAAAAGACCTACAAATAGTGTTTAGTCTAAATAACTTATTCAAGGTTGGGTTAACAGTTTTAAAAGCGTGAGTTTTACTAATTTAGGAGAAATGTGGATGGTAGCTCGTTGAGTAACCGCAATTTCAGTTTTTGGAGTGATTTGTTGAGCAATACAATTTGAAGAATAATTTCTTAATGTTTTAATGTGACTAGTATTTTGCATCATGCATATTGCTAGCTATTCATATTTTTTTAATAAAAATACACATTTCTGTTTTACAGGTTTTTTGCCTCATTGGTTATGTTCCATCAGTTATTCTGTTTACCTATGTGACTTCTTTCACTTTTAAAAAAATTTTAAATACCAAGGAATTTTGGTCATTTATCTATTCCGTGGTAAGTCACATTTTGTATTATTTCATCTCAGGTTTTCAAAGCACGTCCTTTGAAAGCAGTGAGCCCTTTTCATGATTATACTCCAAAATGTTGCTGTGTCTTTTCTAAGTGTGCAGAACTTAAGACAGCTAGCTAGCAGCACCTTTTTGTGTGTATATTTGTCTTCCGTACCATCTGTTCTATGAAGGGATGACACTGAATGCATTTCACAGCTGGCACAGCAAGGATGCCAGCTACAAACATCTGGTACCAGGGCTCTGACACTTTCGGGCTGAGTATCTCCTGTGGCTCCGTGTTTTCTTAGAGGATTAAAAGCATAGTTAATGCTGAGGCACACAGTAAGTTGGTATGAAATTTCTAAACGTCTTTTCCCTTGTCTTCTCATTTTTTTCTTTAGACAGCGTTGGCTTGCATTGCAGTCACCGAAATAACTTACTTTATGGGCTACACGGTCACAGCTGTTCTTCATTACACCTTTTGCATAGCCATTCCAATCTACCCCCTTCTAGGTTGCCTGATTTGTTTCATAAAGGTAGGTCTGTCAGGTGTTTTAATATTTTTTAGAAAACTATAAATAAGTATAGCCTAATCTTTGAGATCTTAGTTCTTATATTGAAACAGTAAAAAAAAAAAATCAAGTTGGCTGCTGCTACTTGATTTAAATATTATTAATGCAGCAATTTGAAATTACTGTGGGGTGTTTTCCAGCATGTCTTTAAACTGCCAATTCTCAAAGGAGAAGGACTGTGTCCACATGTTCTTTCATGCCCAAAACAATGTACATAAATTAGGAATATGATCTGACTGCAGTCAGTATTTATTTTGGGGGCGTTTTCAAGGATTAAACAATGTATTGCACTATAAAGGGATGAGAGAAAACAAGAAAAAAAATGAAGGAACAAATTGTTTTCTTCTGCCTTATTAATTGAAAAAAATTTCTGTGTAATTAGAAAAAAATTTAGTTGATGAATTATTGTCTAAAGATGATCACTGATTAATTCTACTCAGAAACCTCCTTACTCCTCTACCCCCCACACTTTTTGGCTTCAGTTGATAAGTTTAATTTATACCCGCTCTGATAGGAATATTTTGGGGTGGGGAAGATTTTAACCTAACTACAAAACATGGCTATTAATATTAATAACTAGCAAGTTTACAGAGAAGACGTGTTTGCTGAACAAAATACATTAAAAAAATTTTAATCCAAATATTTCTACGTATTGCAGCTGAAAGAAAATCATTTCCTTTGCTCACAAGGCTCCTGACACCCAATGTGTAGGTTTTCCCCTCACATTAAGCAATTCTGATACTAACCAGAGTTAGCACAGACCCCACGGGATAAGGATGCAGTCCGCCAGGGTGTCCCCTGACTTCAGATTCCAGTCACAAGCACTGGGTCCCCAGCTTACCCGCACTTCTTTCTGACTTGGCTACAGATCAAGGGTTCCCGTGAACTGCCTTCTCAGAAGGTTCTGTAGTTTGCCATCATGGCTCCCAGAACTCAGGGAAGCCCTTTATTTACTGTCAGTGGTTTATCATCATGGGTATACAAATAAACAGCCAGCAGAGGAGGTTCACAGGGCGAGGTCTGGAAGGGTCCCCAGTGCAGAGGCCCAGGCCTGTGTCCCCATGCAGTTTGGAAGGCCGCCCTCGCAGCATGTGGGTGCGTCCACGTCCTCCAAGCTGGAAGCACTCGGAATGCTGTGTGAGACTCCATGGAGGTTCCATTACTCAGGCGTGATGAGCTAAGCTGTCTCAGCCCTTCTCCCCTCCCAGGCGGTGAATAAACGGGGCTGAAAGTTCCAGCTCTCCAGTCTGTGGCTGGTCCCTCTGGCCATCTGCCTCCATCCTTCGGGAGTATAAACGTCATTAGTATAAACTCGGCTGAGGTTGAGTGGGGCTTGTCCTAAATAATGACACTCCTGTCACCTCTGTCACTCGGGAAATTCCAAGGGCTTTAGAACTTCTGTGCCAGGAACTGTTGTCAGAGGCCAAATATTATATCGCAGTAACCCAACCACATAAATTTTCAAAAATTTTTGTCTTAGGCTTCTTGGAAGAATAATCAGAAAAGTGAGGACACCTACAACCCATGGGATAGGCTTTTGGTGGCTGTTATATCGGTAAGAAGTAACTGTTAGCATATGACCTTAAGAATAGTTTGGTTCTATCATTTCCACTCTATTTTAGTTTTTATCCTGTTGCATAAAAATGAAGGTGCATAAAAAGTCAAGTGTGTTAGTTAATGCTAGCTTAGCTAATGTGCATTTCATTGGTAAAACCTTTCACTTACTGAATGTGTCCACTTTAATATACTTGGCTTTTGCACATGTCATTAATTCTGCTTAATAATAATTCTGACTTCCATAGAAACAAAAGCAAAGCTTTTTTTAAAAAATTATAGTTTATGAAGCTGACAACAAATGAACTTTACAGAGCTAGAAAAATACATGAAGGATCATTTTACTAAAAATCTACCTTGGTTTGTATTAACATTGATTCTTAACTCATTGTATGACATGCAGAAAAAATTGTGGTGAGTTTTTCTGGTGATAGTAAGGAACCTGATGTATGTGGTTTTGGTTCTGTTGGTATAGAGGAAAAAATAAAAAACCCAAATGACTGTCATGAGCTGTTACATGTTTTTCTTTTAGCCTTACCTGCAGTGTGTGCTGTGGATTTTCCTCTTGCAGTACTATGAGAAAAAATATGGGGGCAGATCACTAAGAAAGGATCCCTTTTTCAGGTCAGTTAATTTTTTATTTATAAATTTATTTTTTATTTGTAGAGTTGTGTAGCCATCATCATAGTCTAATTTTAGATCACTTCCATCACCACAAAAACCTTGTACCAATAGTAGTCACTTCCCTTTCCTCCCTCAGCTGCCCGCTAACCCTGTCTGACCACTAGTCTACTTTCTGTCTCTCTAGATTTGCCTATTTCACACATTCACAAAGTGGAATTATGCGAGATACGGTCTCTTTTTGTCTGGCTTCTTCACTTAACATGGTGTTCTGAAAGTCCATCCATGTTGCAGCATGTAGCAGCATTTCATGACCTTTTTTTGTTTTCTGAGTAACACTGCATTGTGTGGATATACCACACTTGATCTCTTCATCAGCTGATGGGCATTTGAGTTGTTTCTGCTTTTTGGCTATTGTGAGTAATGCTGTGATGCACATTTGTGCGCAAGTATTTGTTTGGACATATGTTTCCATTTCTCTTGGGTGGATACCTAGGAACAGAATTAAAGGGTCCTGTGTTTAACCTTTTGAAGAACTGCCAGACTGTTTTTCAAAGTGGCTGCACCATTTTGCATTCCTGCTAGGAACATGTGAGGGTTCTGTTTTCTGCACGTTCTTGCCAATACATGTTATTGTTTGTCTTTTTGATTTTAGCTCTTTTTCAGGGTGTGAATTGGTGTCTCATTGTAGTTTTGATTTGCATTTCCCTAACGATTCATGATGTTGAGCATCTTTTTGTGTGTGCTTATTGTCCATTTTTATATCTACTTGAGAGAAATGTCAGTTTGAATCCTTTGCCCATTTAAGAAATGGGGTTATCTTTATAGTATTGAGTTACGAGTTCTTAATATGTTCTGGATACAAATCTCTTATCAGATACGATTTGAAAATACTTTCTCTAAGTCTCTGCATATTCTTCTCATAGGATATTTTAAATTTGAAGGGGAATTATTTACTGAAATGTGGCTGTTGGAATTAAATTGGTTCTGAATTTCTGTTTTTCTATTTCTCATATATTTGTTTATTTGCTGAGTATTAACATTCTGTACAAAACTGGAAAGTATTGATAAATGTACGATGGTTATTGGTTAACCACCGGATGCTCCCCACATCCACATCCAGGTGCTCGCCCTTTTCATCTTTGCCCTTGTTCCTGCTGTCACTTGGGAGAGAGTTCAGGATCCACACAGATCACCGTTCCAACACCCTAGCTCCCCTTCCCCCATCTGTTGGTATCAGAGCCGTGCCATCACTGCTCTTCACTTCATCTGGAAAACCTTAAACTCCAGTGTCCAGCTCTACCAGTAACTATTTTTCTAGCTTTCACATCTTGTTTGTCCTGTTGGACTCGTCTCCTGTGGCTTCGTACCCTTGAGTTTTCTCTTTTCTCCTGAATGCATTAGCTAATCCATTTTTACTTTTTCCTCTTTCAGCCTTGCTCACATGATTCATCACTGTCACCCTCTCTCAGCACCCTAAACTTCTGTATCTCTTTGACCTGTCCACTAAGAATCATAATTTTTGGTGAATTTAATTATATGCTAGAGAAAAAATAACATAAAAGTACAGTTTAATGATATTGCACTTCTGTCCCACATAGCCCTGCTTTAACGCTGTTGGTAACCCTGCACGTTTACCTCTCAGCACCTTCCTTTTTCTTTTCTGTTGTTATCCCAAGCCTTCTTTGTATAGCTCAGATTCTCAGATTCACCTCACCTCACCTCATTTCTCACCTCTCAGTAGATGATCTTGCCACCCATCTCAGAAAACAGAAGCACCTAATCATAAATTGTAAAATTTTTACACTTATCCACATGTTCCGTCATTTTTTGCTTTTTCCCAGTCCCAGAGGACAGTGTCCCTCCTGTTATCCACGTCTTCATTTGTTCTGTCTGCTTAAGGGTGTTGCTCAGTCTCTCTTCTCTTTCTGTATCTTTCCCTTTAGGATCTTAATAGAGTATTTTCTCCTTTGGGGAGGGGGTTACCTTTCTCCTATAAAACAAAGGAATAGATCTCAGAACTCAAATTTCATTTAAGCCTGAATTCCTCACTAGCTCTTATCCCAGCTCTCTTTCCTTTCATGGCCAGAAAGCTTCCATCTCCAGTTTCTCACCTCCCTGCCCTCTGGTTTCTGCTCTTACTTACTTACCTCTTGCTTGCTGCTGTTTTCAGTAGATAACTAATGACTTCCACTTTGTCTTGTCAAGTAGACAAGACTCAACTTCTTTAATCTGCAGCCTTTAATATGATTGACTTCTTCCTCTTTAAACTTTTCTCCTCTTTCTCCGCCCCCCCCCCCATAATGTCAACTTCCATTTGCCTCTTTAGCTCTCTTAATAGTACTTCAGAATTTCCTCTGGAAGCACTTTTCCCTCTGCCTACCTTTGTGGTGTCCTGTGGATTCTGACCAGCCCTCTGTATCCATGCTGCCTGGGCAATCTCATGTGCACCCAAGATGTAAGATGTGAATTCTTTGAGAGCAGGGTCTGTGTTTTTGTTTCTATCTTTTTGTCTTTCTGTGAGTTAGTGCTTGATGCATGCTAGTCATAAATAATTGTTGCAAAAATGAATGAATTTAGATAATATCCAGCTGGTATCAGTGAATGAAAAATAGCTCTGTAATTTCCACCTTTAAGACCTGATATATTTCTTCAGTCTTTTCTCGATGTCGTGCTTGGATTTCTTACCATTTTAATCATTTGAAAATATATATTAGGAACCTTTCAAAAAAGTCCAAAAGTAGGAAATTTCCAGAACCAGCAAGCAATGAGAATGAAGATGAGGATGTCAAAGCTGAAAGGCTGAAGGTCAAAGAGTTGATGAGCTGCCACTGTTGTGAGGAGGTAATTTGGTCTTTATTGCTGATTCATATGCCGTGTGCAACGATCAGTTCCTCCTGCACAGAAGTTACTTTGAAAAATATTCTCCTTTCCATGTGAATCAACCTGAGAAAAGTCTGTCTTGAAAAAATATTTTTGTCCACTTGCTTTTGAATCAGCCATTATTTCAGTCATAAATGGATATTTAGTTATATAATACCCCTTATTAGCAAATACAGTTCTTGTGATGTGGACCTGAGGTGTAGATAGCCTGTCATTTACTAATAGGTACCTGATTTACTCTTTTAAAATTTTATTTCCTTTATTAGAAACCAGCCATTATGGTCAACAATTTGCATAAAGAATATGACGACAAGAAAGATTTTCTTCTTACAAGAAGAGTAAAGAAAGTGGCAAATAAATATGTCTCCTTCTGTGTGAAAAAAGGCTGGTATTTAATTTTTTTTTCTTAAATAACTTTTCCAGATGAGCAATTTTCACTTTTTTAGTTTGATTTACATATGATGATTTTTCTTTCAATTCCTTTAGGCGAGATCTTGGGACTGCTGGGTCCAAATGGTGCAGGCAAAAGCACAATTATTAATATTCTGGTTGGTGATCTAGAACCAACTTCAGGCCAGGTATGATATAAGGGTTGGGATATGTTGAATATGATTTATATTTTTAATTAAAACACACTTCCTAGTGACAAATAGAATTTTGATGCTCAAATTTTATGATTTTAATATTTAATTTTTAGGGTATCTTAATTCAAATTATGATCTTTTTGGTTGTCTGTGAGAATAATGTACACAGTGAAATTTCCATACCACACATACAAAACACACACATACAGAATTTCTGCTTTTATGATTATTACAAGTATGGGTGATTTGTCCACTCACTTAATGAAGACCATTGTATTAACTTCAGGGAATATAGGAGCTAGTCTTGACCCTGCCATCAGTTAGTCGTTGACTGTAAGCATACTACTCTCTACTTTGTGGAAACCCCACAGAACTGCTCTGCCCCCTCCTCCTGCTTCTCTCCCCCTTGCTTACTTCACACCAACCACACTGACTCATTGCTTTCCTGGAAAATGCCAGGCACACTTTATGCTTTTCTTTTGCCTTCGATGTTCTTTATGTTGGCTGTTCCTTACCCTATAGAAAACCAAATGACCATATTCACTATTCCCTTGGCTCAAAAATCACCTCTCAGTGGGGCCCCCGATCCTCCTAGTAGAAACTGAGCTTGCCTTCCCACACAGCCCTGCCTTCCTAATCACCCTTCCTGGCCATGTCGCTGAACTCCAGCTTAGCTGCGTATGTCCTTTCTTCATCAGAAAGGAGTGAAAATCTGACCTAGTATCACCCTGACTCTAGGACAGAGTTTGAATTAACCCACGTGCCACTTCCTTTACAATGTAAGTTGAGCAAAAAATAGTTATTTAATATCGATTTATATTTCTGTAGGTATTTCTAGGAGATTATTCTTCAGACCCAACTGAAGACAATGATTCCAGTAAGTGTATGGGATACTGTCCTCAGATAAACCCACTGTGGCCAGATATTACATTACAGGAACATTTTGAAATTTATGGAGCAGTGAAAGGAATGAGTGCAGGTGACATGAAAGAGGTCATAAATCGGTAAGATAATTTTCTTTAGAAACCTTTTGTTACCTGGAGAAAGGCTTACACTCTATAGTTTTAAAATTTCATAACAGGCATTTCCGTGGATCAGAATTTTCATGTAAAATAATCATTAGTTTTTCTTACATTCTTTAGCAAATTTTGACAGCTACGAAAATAAAAAGGAAACATTTTTAATTACAGAATAAATGTATCCATAAATGTCATAAAACTTAACTTTACTTTAGAGTGAACCTTTTAATCAAGATACTTATTTAAAATGAACTTTAACTGAATAACTGTCCTAGAAAAAAAACAATGTCAGCGGTCACAAACAATTGTTTCTGTGTTTATGTATATCACTGTACACTCATGTTATCTGATTTGCAGAATAACAAATGCACTTGATTTAAAAGAACATCTTCAGAAAACTGTAAAGAAACTACCTGCAGGAATCAAGCGAAAGGTACTTTTATTAAACAACAAATACGTGTATATTTTAATGATAGCTTAGTACCTGATACTATCTTGATAGGATTTCTTCTAGGGAGGCCTTATGATTCTCCCCTCCCTCTGTTTTCTTTCCGTCTAGTTGTGTTTTGCACTGAGCATGCTGGGGAATCCCCCTATTACTCTGCTAGACGAACCATCTACGGGTATGGACCCTAAAGCCAAACAGCACATGTGGTACGTATGACCTTGAAGACACTGGAGACACATTGTACTATGTACTTTAGAATAAAAGGAAAATTTTATTTCATTGTAGCTCAAGGTTTTATACTGGTTATATATCTGTATTTAAAATCCTATATAAAATTAAAAAATAATAATTAAAAATTATATTTTGATTTCTAGAGATTTCCCCTTAAATTTTTTATAAACTTTATCATTTTTATGGTGTTAATAATATATTATATATTCCAGAAAAAAATGAGAATACTGTTATCTAAATAGTGTTTAAAATGTTTTTTTCTAAAGTAACATATGTAAGTGGACATATATAATTACCTTTTTCATAATAATGTTTTCTTGAATTTATGTTAAACTCTCTAGGAATTCACAGTGCTAATTAGTTGACCAACTCTTTGAGCCTAGATTTCCAAGTGTAAGGTTTGGTTTAGATGCATGTTAAGGTTTCCCTATAGTTCTATGGCTATTTTTGTTAAAACATGAAAAGACAGCAGTTTTTGGTTGGTTCGTGATTTTTTAACCCATAGAAATATTTGAAACCACAAAATTTCTTCCCTTTGGCAAGCTTTCAAAAATAAGGTAAAATGGGTTAGAAGAGAAAAGTCATAGTTGGGCAGAATAAAATAACTCCAGCAATTGATACTTGATAGATTTAACTTAACCAAATAGTTGGATTTTTAAAAACTTAGGTATTTTCATTAGCATTCAGCTTCTTTTTCCTCTTCTTTTTGTTTTACTTACATTTTGTAGGAGAGCAATTCGAACCGCATTTAAAAACAGGAAGCGGGCTGCCATTCTGACCACTCATTACATGGAGGAGGCCGAGGCTGTCTGTGACCGGGTGGCTGTCATGGTGTCTGGGCAGTTAAGGTAGATGTCGGAGCAGCATGCCACGTAGGAGGCGGGGGGTGGGGGTGGGGTGCAGGTGTGGATTTTGAATGCCATCGTTTCAAAAGCTTAGAGTAATACATATTAATTTAAATATTAAAAAAAATGCTTCCTTGTTTGAATTTTCAGTTAGCTTTCTGTAGAATTACTTGGAAATACGTTAATATTTTCCAAGAATTGGCAAGCTACTTTGCATTTGGAATTGGCCTAGTTTTTAGGCATGGTATTTGCTATTTTAAAAAAATTGTTAGGCATTGTGTTGGATTATAACCCAGAGTATAAATCAACATACTCATATAAATAAATGAATGAATAAATAAATGTGGGAGAAGAGGCAAATCTACTTATAGAAAGATGCCAAATTATGTCTCTCCCAGGGGTAGTCTGGACTTAGTCTTCTTCTAAAGTTTGGAAAGGGGAAGATAGTACCTTTACAGTAGAGAAACGTGACAATTACTCCCTCAGCCAAGCAATGCCACTTGGATATCACGAACCCCCAGTACGTGGTGAGAAAGGTGCTTCAGCTCCATGTTATTCACTTCAAAAACCCGTACCCCAGTCTAATCATGAGAAAAACATCAGACTACCCCAAATTGAGGAACATTATATGAAAACACCTGACCAGTTCTCAGAACTGTCAAAGTCATGAGAAAGAAGGAAAGGATAAGAAACTGTCGCAGAGCAGTGGAGACTGAGGACCCGTGACAGCTCAGTGCAATGAGGTTTTCTGGGTAGATCCTGGAACAGAAGAAGGACATTAGTGGAGAAACCAGTGAAGTCCAAGCAAAGTCAGTTTAAGTCAATAATAATATACTGATGTTGGTCTCTTAATTTTGACAAATGTTTCATTGTTAATATAAGACAACAGTATTGTTGAAATTGGGTGAGGGCACATGGAGACTTTCTGTATTATCTTTTATCTGCAACTTTTATATTAATTTATGAGAATTCCAACACAAGAATTTTATTTAACTCATCTTTAAGTGAGAAATCATCTTTGAAACTGTCAAGTTATTTTATATCTGCTCTTTCTTTTAAAAATTACTACAGATGTATTGGGACAGTTCAACATCTGAAGAGCAAATTTGGGAAAGGATACTTCTTGGAAATTAAATTAAAGGACTGGATAGAAAACCTAGAAGTAGATCGTCTTCAAAGAGAAATTCAGTATATTTTCCCAAATGCAAGCCGTCAGGAAAGGTAAAGATTTTAAAATTTTACTTATATTTCTTTGTAGATCAATAATCATTAAAATTGATTATTGTATTAAAGATTAGGGGAAAATGTCTGTATTATCACCAGTATTGGACTAATGTGTGATAACTGGTGTTTAATATCTAACCTAATGTCATATCTTTCACTGTGTGATACTATTTAAAATTTTTAAAGTTCTTATTTAGTAGTAATGAGTTATTTTATTGTGCATGGAAATATTTTAAGATTTTAGATAATTAATTTTTATCTAAATAGTATCAAAATAAGTTACTGGAGTTTAATTTTGAACTTTTAAAATGTTGAACTTTAGCTTCAGAACCCATAGTAGTTATTTTTAAATTTTCCTATATTTTACCTTTATTTTCAGTTTTTCTTCTATTTTGGCTTATAAAATTCCTAAGGAGGATGTTCAGTCCCTTTCACAATCTTTTTCTAAGCTAGAAGAAGGTAAGTAATATTTGAAAAACATTGTAAGGTGGCTTTTAAATTATGAAAGAATTTTATTAAAAAGTTTAGAAGTTGGGACTCAGTTTTTATTGTAGAAACTGTGGTAAGTAAGAAGATGACCCTTTATTAATTTATCTAAGCCAGAGGCAAATACTGATACCCTAGGGGTTTTGTAGTGTAAACCCTTACTGTCTCCAGCGGACATCACCGCGATTTTTCACATTGCGTCTCTGAGAAAGTTCAGCTTAATTAGCCCTCACTGGTTCAGTCCAGAAGTGGGAGCTTTGAATTGCTTGAATCCTTACTATGAACAATCGCTATTTCCTGCTGCTCTCTTTATGATTAAAGAGAACATCTGAAGTCTTTAGGGAGAGTTAAATTAAAGGAATGAATAGAAAACCAGAAATATGATATTGGAATAGATTGCAAAAGGAACTAAAATAAATATTAAAAAGTATATGGACACATGACCAATATCCAGATTCCGGTTCAAGAAGTCAAGAACAGGCTGTGTTGTAACTGGGGAATGGGAGGTAGAGAGCAGGGATCAAAAGAAACATGAAAGAAAGGAAGAATGTGGAAGAAGAAAGAGGAGGGTTAAAGAGGAGATGGCTGGAAAAGGTGGAATAAGGCAAGTACCATTACATAGCGCTTAGGGCTGCAGAGAACTGTAGGGGCGGGGAGAGGAAGGAAGCGAGAGAGAGGAAGGTGACATGCTTTGGCAGCTTCAGACTGAAATGAATTGATTATAGAGTTGTTTTGTTGTTGTTTTTTTCTTTTTTTAAAAAGATTGTTAGCCACTCAGTAGTTATTGCCATTTTATTATTTAAAATATTAACAAGTAAAATACTGTTTATATTTTAATAGCTAAACATACTTTTGCCATTGAAGAATATAGCTTCTCTCAGGCAACGTTGGAACAGGTACTGTAAAGTTAAATTTACAAAGTTCCTTTGCAGAAGAAAGTGTCTAATATCTAATTGTCTGGGTTTATATTTGAGAGGGAAGGAGATTGTGAGTCAGAAACCAGTTGTTATAGAATATTCCTAAACTCTGTACATTATAAACAACCTGAGGTTCTCCATCATCTGTGTATTTTGATTTCAGTTTCATAGAGAAAATGAGTCATGATGGATGGGATTTCATATTAGCATATCTGAAATTACATTGCTTAAATATTTATAAATTATTTTTATGATGGTGCTACATCTATATATTAATCAAAAGATAATCTACTAATCCTCTAAAATAACATTCATCTTTATATGTGATGAATGGAGATTATTCTGTTTAAATAATATTAATGGCATTATATCTCTTGATACTTTTAAGTGGTTACTGAAATTAGATATGGCCTTGTATCATTTTTGATTTAGTTAAATAAAATGTTTTGAGATAATCGAAGTACAGAATACTGTGTTAATTTATTTACCTTCATTTAGGTTTTTGTAGAACTCGCTAAAGAACAAGAGGAAGAAGACAACAGTTGTGGGACTTTAAACAGCGCACTTTGGTGGGAAAGAACGCAGGAGGATAGAGTAGTATTTTGAATCTGTATTGCTCAGTGGGCTTAACTGAATTTCTTTCTTTTTCACTTTATTTTAACTTTGGTTTAAAAAGCTTATTGTTTGGTAATTGAAGAGCTGTGAAAGCATTGGGATTTTCCCCGGCATCATTAATTGAAATGATGTGGTTGTGTGTTTTACTTCTCTTCAAAAAAAACTTACGTATAATTATTTGAAACTGCATGTTTGTATCTGAAGTATATTGAACTGTAGTCTGTATATAAAATTGAATACCTTCTTTTTCACCTTTCAGAAACAGTGCTTCTGGATTTATGATAGGAAGAAATAGCGATAGAATGATTTTATTTTGAGCCGTCATCTTTATGTTTAAGTTTACACCATCTTGTTACATAAGTATGTAATGTCCCAATCTAAATTAAAAAAAATACAAAATTAATACATAGAACAGAGACATAAAGCAAAAGTGTCTTGCTTTTACTTCTTAATTTCTAAAAGAAACTGAATCACAATTGGCATTCTAAATAAAAAGCTGAAGTCTTATTGCAGATAGAGGTTTACAGGGACATCCACTAGGTGGCACTTATCAGTCATAATAACTGAGACGAGACCTTGTTCTAGTAGGTGGTTTTAAACATAAGTAACTTAAGTATATGAAGTCTTTTGCCTACAGTAAAATTCAGAGGTCTTTCAATTATTGTGGAAGGCTGTGTCTAGGATCTTACTATGTAATAGTCTGAATTTTTGACTGTTTGGGGCTGGAATGACAGACATCTATAGAGTTGCAAAAATTAAACCATACCTTCTCCTCCACCCCTCATGGAAGACATAAATATTTTGTCATCTTCTTTCTAAAGAACATATTTTATTTTGTTCTAGAATAAAATAATTTGTTGGGTAATCATTTTTGGTAAACCTTATTATTTGAATCTCTCTCTTTTAGAGAGTTTTAAATATATCAGTGTGTGGATTTATTTATTAACTCACCTCAGTTCACTTTGGAACGTGGTGGGATATAAATAAACTTTTGGGGGTTAAATTAAGGATTAGAAATAAACCATAGGGGCGAGGGTATAGCTCAGTGGTAGAACGCATGCTTAGCACGCATGAGGTCCTGGGCTCAATCCCCAGTACCTCCTCTAAAAATAAAAAAACCTAATTACCTCCCCATGCAAAAACATTTTTAAATTAAAAATTAAAGAAATAAATCATACGTAATTCTCCTTAATAAGAAACCAGAATTTCACTCTGTGAAGAGTTGAAGTAAGAGTATGGTTAATGTAATCTTAGAAATACTTCCTCGTAGAACCCATGTATGGACTATGGGTATAATATAGTATAAATAATATTAGTTGACATATTTCAGCCAGATGACTCAAAGTATTAACTCTGCGGAAACAAACATGGTAGGAGTGTGATTATTGCATTACAAAGAGTCTTAAAGAACAACAGTCACAACGGAAGGATTTGGTACTGAGTTACTTTGAAGAGCCAAACCCTTTAGTGACATTATTAGCGAACGTAGATAAAACTTAATAAACTTTTCGCTCTACTGTGTATAAGACGTCTGTGATCTTAGGCTCCAGCAGCTGGTGTACGATAGCGTACCTTTCTCAGCCCCAGCACGAGGTACGTGACTGGTACTTCCCTCCGTTGCTTTGACCTCACTGCGCGTTCCTGACAGCGGGTTCTCTACCCGCCATCTGGAGGTCCTCTCACTAATCTAACGAGCTGTCTTACAGTCTCTGCTTGGATTTTGCAATCCACAGCGCAGTTACTTCCCCTTGTATGATTTAGTTGGCACTAGTTTTTAATCTTTTATTATCAAGTCACTTGCCTCGTGATACCAAACTTTCAGATCCTTCACCTGAGACACTCGCTTTGACATCTTTACTAAAATAAAAGTTGTAACTTACACTGAACTTCAGTACTGCGTGATGAGTAAGTCAAGAAACATTTGAATGAAAATCTTTACCTTTGTAGATAATAAGTAGTACATTGCATTTTCTAAGCAAGTCACTGCTAACTGGTGTCATCAATTTAAAGAGAGATCTTTTAGTGTGTGACATTCATATAAATACTGGCGGGCTTCTCTTTCAGGATGTGTTTTTGTAGCTATGCTGACCAGGCATAATCACGTTCCTATCTATTAAGTTCTTTCAGTTACTTTACTATTATGGTGCTCTTGCAAGCATTTTTTTAAAGGCATTTTTTTAAGTTTTTACATACTTGGAGTGAATATATTTTGGTCATGAATTAAATTATTTGTCAGAATGTTCTGTTCTCATTTTTTCACACAATAATAAAGTTTTTCCTATTCAGAAGTATAATTTAACTAATCCTTAGGAAAGCAAAGGTAAGCAGGGTGGGAAGAAAAGGTGACAGGTCAAATAAGAGTTTATCTTTACTGACATTGTACACTTTATGTTTTTGAACATATATTACTTCATTTCAAAATGTCTTAAATTGTGATCTCAAAACTTTTCCCTATACCAATACAAATAAATATAAATACACCTATTAGGAAAAAGTTAGAAAAAGCAGTATCTCCTAGCTTACATTTTCCATCCACAATCAAATTTTACAAGCAAAGCCTGGACCTTACTGAGTGACCGTGGTTAGTGACTAACGCAGTGTTAGGTAGGAACAAGGTCATGAAGAACGTGACGATGAGTGTACTTTACGTTTCCCTCTGTGGGCTCTTCGTTTTTTTTTTTTCCAGTTTGTTTTCAGTAAAAGGCCATAGCTTTTCTTTAAAAAGCATTTTTTCCTCTAAGTTGGCCCAAACTATATCTTAAATCAATATTTTACTTTAGTCATTAAATTGTCTTTAGAGTAATTTAATTCCGCAAACCGTTTAGAGATCATGGTTCAAGCAATGGGTTCTTTGGATAGAACGGTAACTATCCACTTTGCCCCTGGAAGATCTTACGATCTAGTAGGAAAGATAGGTACTTACATAACTAACTCTAATATAATAACAAATGTGTTGCTAGTGGTACTGTTTATTGGAGCACAGTTCTACTTGGGGTTAAGTGTTGTCGTGCTTTTATTCTTGTTCTGTTCGTTATAGCAGCATTTCCTTTGTACTCTGAATTTGATGAAATACCATGCTGTATTTTTATGTAACACATAAATATGCATTAATTTTTTAAAAATAGAAATGCTTATCCTTAATGTATTTTTAATACTGCTAACATTGATTTTTTCATTTTCTTTCTTGAGAGAACATGTTACCTAAAATGAAAAGAACTTATTCTCAGGTGAATAATTTTTATATCTGCTATTCTTATAAGGTAAAAAGTTTTCTTATTTTTTATTCATAATATGTTATATGTAAGTAATTCTCAATGCTGCCCTTTAAGAAAAATAAATATGATTCTATTATTAGTAACAAGCTTTAAGAACTGAAAAATTAAGACAACTCTTCATTTTGTACACTGAAATGGATACTTTGTTATTGAATGTTGATAAATGAATAATGAGTGGCTCATATTAAAAATGAAGAAGAAACCTGGTACTAAAATTTGTTAGTAACTTATTTTTCGTATCTGTTGGGAGTTTTCAAGTACAGAAGGAACACTGACAGTTACTCATGTTTTAATTCACATTCATATTTTAAACTAGGTGTCTTTGTTGATCTTTTAATCTCTAATCTGTTTTGTGAAAACATAAAGCAATCCCTTTTACTTACATTTTATTACATTTAGCAGATTAAATTATTCCCAGATATTTAATATACTTAGATTTTATCCATTTCCTTAGGATGTCTGAATAAATTGGATTCTCCCAACGCTTAGACAAGATTTGAAATTTAATGAACCGATTTTTCTCAAGCACCTAAGCAACTCTTGCAAATCTAATTAATCAAATTAGATTAAGCAAATAAACTTAATAATTTTAAGCATCTTAAAAACAGACAACGTACACAAAACTACATGATTAGAGGGCTTGCTGCCACGCTTACATAAACGCAGGATTCCCTGAAAGTATCAGTACTGTCAGTTAAAGTAATTATTTATCTCATGTGTACACATATACCTTCCCAAGGTCACACATTTACCAATAAAAGGGCCATCTCAGCTCACCAAAATTTCCCTCTTGGTATCTTGAGACCAAGAGATGGATGCTGGTTAGGTTGCTCACTTAACGACTGGAACCGCTCGAGGGCTGGCTGTACAGTGAGTGCTAAAATAAGCATAAAACCCAGATCTGTCCTCACAGAGGAAGCTGGGCATGCACCCTACCACTGAGCTATAGCCGTCCCCCTAAAATAAACGTGTTCTATCAGAATTTGATAGACTGTTATCTGCGGACTTACTCTGAAAGTCTTTGCACATTGGAAGGTTTCTTTTAGTCCTGCTTTGAGTTAATCTTCCATTATCTTTTGGTTATTTTGTGACCTATCTTCATACATGTCATGTTATTTATCTTGCTATCTCTCATGAGGGTCTCAGTTTGGGACTGTTCATCTTTGGGGAGGGGCACCACTATTTTCAGGCCTTCATTAAGAATATTAGAAATGGTTGCCCGGATGATTGTAACTGTCTATGAAGCTAGTGTGGTGAGCCACCCATCTGTATAGCTTGGCTTACATTTTGAAGTTCAAGGCAAGAAATCTAAGAAATATCCTACTGGCACTATTTGACTGACAGCCATTTAAATCATCAAACATATTGTTACTGCAGGATGCAAACCCAGGGTCTTGTCTCAGTCCTCGTGGATGTCCCCAGGCAGTTGAAAATAAAAAGCCCATCCAGAAGACCACTGAGAAAAAAAAACTGAAGACTGAATTGTATACAAGAAAGCCACTGGAAGTTTCTTGGTCCTTTTAGTCTAATGAAATTAGACTAGTCAAAGGGAAAGTAGACTTGTCTTTCAGTCAAAAAAATTTAAGTAACAGTTTGCAATTCAGAGCTGGGGGAGAATGAATCTCACATTGGAAATGTGACAACACCAGGGAGATTTTTATTCAAAAACGGTTTATCTCAGATTAAGGTCCAATCCTACCAGCTAAAAGCAGCAGGTGCCTGGTAGAGACTGGGCAAAAGGTGAAACCACCAGATGGCAGCAGAGGGCTGTGCGGCAGGGGCACCTTCCCAGTTCCAGAAACGGGCGGAGTAAGGCGGGGTGAAGTAAGGCTGAGTCAACAGTTGGAGCCAGCAAGTCAGCTGGGAAGCTGGAGGCTAAACTCTACGAGCCAAAGGGTCATCCTTGTACTAGTTCATTTGGGAAACAGTAAGGATCCAACAGGGTTCAGGCTGTCAGGACAAAGAACAAGAAACGAGGAGTGAGCCAGAAAAAGTCCCAGTCATTCATCAAATAGAAGAAGGCAGAACAGCCAGAGGTTAGAGAGGACTGGAATTGTGTGACAGCATGGACTTGAGGCTGGATTTTAAATCACCAGTTTTAAATCCCTCCTTTGGTTCCTTTAAGGAGCCTCAAAATCTGAAACTTTTCAGGTTCTCTCCAAAAGGCAGGCAGGGAATCCTCTGTAACCTGAAAGCAAACTTTGTTGATAACGAGGATAACTGGGAGGTGGATGGGCAGAGCTGGTGAAACAAAACCTCCAGGAAATAATTTCTTGGGATATCACTGATGATAAAGATACAGTCACAGTCTGACTTTTACTTCTTCCCTTTACTGTCCTTTCAATAGTGAAACTAGTGGTCCTCACATTCTTGGGAAAACTCAGTTATTTTTTTTCCCCATATAAAGGATTACATAAGAATTTCAATGATAATTTTCAGGTGGGGGAAAGCATCAAGATGAGTCAAAACAAAATATCGGAGTATTTAAAAAGCAGGCTTGATATGTAAGAACAGATTTTAAAATTTAATTGTTAACATTTATTGAGGACTCACTCTGTGCAAGGCCCTGTTCCACTGCCTTACGCACGTTCGTACGCTGGTCATTCCCAGAATCAGACATGCAAATTCTCAGGTGGCCCCAGTTCTACCAAATCAGAAACTCCAGGAGTGGGATCTAGCCATCTCTGTTTAAACAAACAGTCTAGGGGATCCTGATGCATGCTCAAGTTTGAGAACCACTGGCGTTGTCGATTATATTCAATCCTTACAACCACCCTGAGAAATAAGGATGTTTATGTCCATGCTCTCCCCTATAGCTGGAGAATCTGAGGCCAGGGACATTAAATGATTTATCCAGTGACACGGAGCTCCTGAATGGCAGAGCTGGGATTTGAACCCAGGCAGGATGACTTCAGAGCTTATATTCTTGATCTCTTCCTCTCATAGTTACACTTAGCCCTTGTGTGGTATCTGGCTTCTGTCTTAATGATACCTGCTGAATATTGAATTCACTAGGTGAAAACCATGTGCATAACACGTTGATCTCTCTGGGGTGTGCACACACCTCCACACACACGTGTGGTGCCTGTTGCCAAAGGCAACTGGGGGTGGCTGAAGGTTCACTATTTGTCCTGTCTTCCTGCCAAATCAACTGAAGATAATCAGTCAGAAGGGGCTGGTTGTGAAATGCACGGTAAAATGAGAATCAGCATTAGCTAAAGCAGTGATTTCCAAGCTTGAATGTATCTGAATTACCTGCTTTGAGAAGATCCTGATATAAGTGGAACCCGAACTGGGAGTCTGAGAATTGCAAATATTAACTACTATATATAAAATAGATTAAAAAAACAAAATTTCTTCTGTATAACACAGGGAACTAGATTCAGTATTTGGTAGTAACTTATAATGAAAAAGAATATGAAAAGGAATATTTGTATGTATATGTATGACTGAAACATTATGCTGAACATCAGAAATTGACACATTGTAACTGACTATACTTCAATTAAAAATAACAACAACAACAACAACAACAACAACAACAACAACAACAACAACAAACTAACCCCGAATGGTTCTTCAGAGACAGACTTTGGAGTATTCAGCAACTTGCCCTCAGGGGGCTCCTGAAAATTTCCCTGACTTCCATGTTATGGAGTCACTTGGATTATAAAAGACCAATCTGTGAGGAGTCCACAATTAGAGGATTATTTTACTGTGGTAAAGAAGTTTCACATCACTCTGAGGGGTGTGAGTGTGTGTTGCGAAAGTGAGTCTGGTGTATCCTGAACTGCCCCCAGGTTGGACTGAGATTGTCACAGTCTTTGTAGTAAGTCAGCCTCGCAGTGATTAAATTCAACATTTCCTTTTGTTCCTAAATTCCTACCTTGGGCCAAACACTAGGTTAGGAGCTGGGGATATAAAGGTTAACCATACAGAATCTTGACTTTAAAGGGCTTAGAATATATTGGGAGTCACACAGAAATACGTAAGTGTATCAGTTACCTGCTTTTAAATAACAAATTATCCCCAAATGTAGCATCTTAACACACATTAATCAACTCATGGTTTGTGTAGGACAGAAATCTGAGCATAGCTTAACTGTGTACTTTTAAAATTAATCACCAAACAGAAAAAAAGAGGCAATTTGGGGGAAAGTTTAAAAAAATATCAACTACAAAAGAAATATAATTAACACAGTATCATGAAAAAAACAAAAACAGGATATTATAAAAAAGAAGAGTCCAAGGGTTGGGCCACATCAGGAACAAGTCGAGTTAATCCCAGGAATTCTACTTCAGAGAACTGTAAGAACTGTTAGAAAAAATAGAAATCATAAAACCGTCAATATATAGATACATTTATTGTTTACGAAACTTTAAAGATTTACACTTAGAATAAACAAGAGAGTGCAGCAAAGTTCAAATCAACATACAAAAGTCATCCTGCTCCTCTATTCAAGCAACAATTAATTAGAAAATGCTAAAAAAAAAAAAAAGTCCTATTACGTTAGCAATGGAAACTCTAGCTATGCAGCAATCAGTCTTGCAAAAGACATGGAAGAATTTTATTGAAGGACAGAAAAAGTGACCCAAGTCAAATCAACAGTTTCATCACGTTAGGGCTCAGGAAAATTCAATATGATAAGTGAGTTCTCTTAAATTAGAAAAGCAAAACTGAGATATCGCCGGAGGGGGTTCACGCAGAGGATGCGATCTCTGGTCGGTCCTCTGGCAGCATCCGGGCAACATCCGGGCAACGGGGGCTGCGTACCCCTCCCCCGCCCTCGGGTGTCGGCACCGCCGTCCCTACGGCGGCGCCATTTTACAGGGCGCGGCCTTTAGAGAGACCGTCTGGGCGGAATTAGGGGACCCAGCCCCTTAATGTCTCCGTGTTTAAGATTCTGGCGGCAGGTGCGGAGAGCTCCTTGGCTTGCGGCGCCCAAGACAGCCCCGGACGTGTGTAAGTTCCCCACTTCTAGAACCTTCCACTGCCAGTCAGGCGTGGCCGCCTCTGCCTTCGTGCCCCCGAACCTCCGTGTCCACGCGGGGCTCAGGTGTCACCGGGAACTCGAGTTCGGGAACCGGCAGGTCATTCACTTTATGGCGCTCGCAGACCTGGCGCTTTTTGTTTTACAAACTGAAGGTTCCCGGCGACGCTGCGTCGGGCGCGTCTCCCTGCGCCATTGTCCCCACAGCGTCTGCTCCCCGCGTGT